TTGGAATATAACCCCACCCTGTCATTCTGTGGGAAACACTGGACAGTATATAGAAACGTAACTAGTTACTTTTATCACCCAGTAATAAGTAAAGTAATCATATTTTTTAAGGACTAATAAGTAACTAGTGATATATTACAATTTCTGAGTAAGTTGCCCAACACTGCATGTGACCTAGATAAAGATTCATCTTCCTTGTAGGAAGCCGTCATTGAACAGGGGAGGGGGTCTACGCCACCACTTATCCCCACTTACAATGCTGTCCTTTCATCACTTCCCAGGAAACTCAACAAACGTAACCTATTGGCCTCAGGTGAAGATGCCAACGATGGTCGTTCAGTCTCGGCCACAGGTAGTCTTAACGACTGTAACGACTGTCGTCACAGCAACAAGGAACACTAACGAACCAGCGGTATCGATGACCCGGGCCAACGACCCCACTGAGGTTAAATAGCTGAGTTTCCCTGCCAGTCAGTCAGAACTGAAGAAGTCCTTTGGATGAGGGACGAAACGTCTTCCAGTATCTTCAACCAAGTCCAGTTGCCCTTGATTTTAACCTTCGTTGGATAACTATGACCTGGATGACTGAGAATCTTCATAGACATTGCTTTATGAAGTTAATTTAGAACAATGTTTGGACACTTTGAGTGTGTTAAATAAATTAATTTCATTTTTGAAGTGACGACAGGTTTTTTTAAAGTGAGGTGTCTTTTAATGTGGAAACGCCGACACAGCCGAGCTGAAAGAATAAGGCTGATATTTTCATACAGCTCATAAGAACACTTTAAATCAACACAATATTATAGACCACGCCTGTTCATTTAGGCATTCACACTGTCTGCGATTTTCTGTCTCCCTGCATGTGTCAGATGCAGGTGTGCTACTGTCGCATTTCTGTAGTGTTACAGTTTAATCCTCGTTCATAGAATATGACGCTCTGCTGCCAGTGGACTTGTTCATGTCTGTGATTGGTCATCTGCTGCTAACACCGCCTCTTTACGTGAACGTGCTCCCGGCTGGATTGGGAAACCCTGGGTTGACTTACCGAGTTGATAACCAGCTTCTTGGTACCGCTTATTCCGATCGCGATTGTTAAGGTTAGTTAAGCCAGATAACGAAAACATATCCTGGGTATGTTGAACTCGCTTCGCGGTGCAGGCCCCTGGCTACAGATTACGGTTGTTGTCATGATGTTGTCATACAGCCACTTTCCTACTGCTTTTTGAAATGGTCGGTGCCCCACCACCATTTTTACATATAAATATGACACTGGTCAAATCGGTTGTTAAAAAGTGGGATATTGCAAGAATACCTATCCTTGTTAACAAATGTTAACAAATAATTACACAACTCTATACAGCACACGTTGTATATTTCAATTTGAATTTAAAGAAAAATATTTATGCTCCATGATGTCTGTAATCTTGAGTTGACTTGTTCCCAGTAAATGTTTTGTTCCTCCCCATCACTGCACTCCTACAAATAAATGCTTTTTAAGGAAAAGGTTAACTTGCATATTTAAAGAACAATTAATTGCCTAACACATATACAGATAACACATCAAACAGGATTTTTATGGAATGTTAACTGAACTGGTTTTAGTATAAGAATCCAAAGGATATCAGTCTGTGATTCCTTAACTCACATTTTATGTAGTATTCAACTAGTCTATATTGCATAATAGAAATCCTGAAATTCAGTTATGGCTTTTGGTTTAGTGTGCCACCCCCAGGATTTTCAGTGGCCCCATCTGGCCACCCCTGGGAAAATTTTCTGGGGGCGCCCCTGGTAGACGATGCTTCCAAGCTAACACTGATTAGCTCGACATCCTCCTCTTCACTTCTTGCTTTTTTGAAAAAGCTACACATTAGCGGGACATTTTTTATTGCAGCTGTTCATATTCATGTTAAACATGACCAAAGCTTCAAATAATGAGGTAAACGTATTTAAAAGAAATCCCTGTGAGACAAAACCTCAGATTTTCCTCTTGTTCTGAACGTTCTGTTTTAAACGGCTCGATATGATGTCATTCCGAGCCGGATGGTGGTGATGGCGCATAGATAAGATGCTTGCCTTTGGTGTGGGACCTGGGTTCGATTCCCACTGTGAGACATCCACCAATGTCTCCCTGAGCAAGACGCTTAACCCCTCGTTGCTCCAGAGGCGTGCGACCTCTGACATGTATAGCAGCTGTAAGTCGCTTTGGATAAAAGCATCAGCTAAATGAATAAATGAAAAAATGTAAATGTAAATATGGTAATTTGCTCCAGGCAGAGAATGCTGACCACACCCACAAAGGAACATGCAGCCCCATCCCTTCACATGGTAAACACATAAGACAATGGCCAACCAGAAGACAGAAGACAGGCTTTGCTTCAAAGAGACAGGAGCACCTACAGCTTGTTTCAGACAGATGCTGAAATGAGGGCCTGCATGAAGGGCCAGTATAAGATAGAAAATTCTTTTTTTGAACTTTGAATCATGCAAAGCTGCCATACAGGAGTCACAGAATTACAATATAGGACTGGAAATGCATTATAACAGGTCTCCTTTAAATAGCAATGCCCATGGTACAAGCTCACCTGCTTTTAAAGGGAATGGGAGATGACACTGATTGGTTTATTGCATGTGACGCCCCAAAACACACCCATGATTAGAGACTACGTACAAATCTTTTGAACCATGTTCTCTAGCAAACCCTGTAAACTAGCAAAAGTGGATTCAGAAAAACTACACAGGGACCTGCACCATGCACTTCACGTCGCACGCTTAAGGATTTTAATGGTCACATGTAAGTGAACCTAAACTATAATGTGGTATGCTGAACTTGAGCACTCACCCTTTCAACACACACTGGCAAAGAAAAGCTAACAAGCTACAAGTGTCATCTCCAAAAGTAATGAGCGCCAAAAATGTCTGAAACCTTTATACATTACATTACATTAACTTGATTCGTTGAGAATAAAGATCTTTGTTGAAGCTGCAACATTAACACTTGAGCTGACCTGTCTTCACCTCAGCTGGTGCAAAAAGCTTTGTTTCATTACATTTGGCATTGCTTTCAGTCTGAACAAAGAAGGATTCCAAATCATCTTCAGTAATAGAAAAATGTAGATAGCAGGACTACTACTTTAGATGGAATATTTGCACTCCTAACATCTTTTGGGGCAACACCTTCAATCACAGGAACAATGAGAGAAAGCAGATTAATAAGTTTTATTACCTGAGTTGTGAATTCCCAATATATTTATCCTTAAGAAATATTCACAGACAAAGACTTGGTGATAAAGGAAAATTTTATTTATAACTAAATGTTTTTAACAAGTGAATAAAGACAGTAAATTAGGTTTTAATAAGGGTTATATGACGTGTTGACAAAAAAAACTCCGGAGATGACGTGGGCAGACCATGGAATAATAATGCAGACTTGTATCTGCTTTCCTTGGACATATTATCCCCAAAATGGCATTTCTTTTCATATTTATGCTGATGACACACAAATATACTTGCCCGTCAGATCCACAGACCCTGGAATGCTGAGTTCACTTAATAACTGCCTTTGTGAAGTAAAAAATGGATGTCAAATAATTTCCTCCAGCTGAACTCAGACTAAACAGAAATCCTGGTCATCGGGTCCAGCAGATGGCAAATCAAATACTGCCATCTGCTGGTTCCCTAGTAAATCACATTAAGCCTGTGGCAAAGAACCTTGGTGTTTGGTTTGATAGTAATTTAAATTTCGAGCAGCACACCACAAAGCTTGTTCAATCATGTTTTTATCAACTTAGAAATATAGAAAAAATTCGATCTATGTTAACTTTTAAGGACACCGAGACCATTTTACACGCCTTCATCTCATCACGCCTGGATTATTGCAACAGCCTTTTCACCGTTTAACCCAAAAATCTATTGATGGACTCCAGACTGTCCAGAACTCAGCTGCCAGGCTTTTAACCAGAACAAAGAAATATGACCACATTACTCCTATTTTAGCTTCATTACACTGGCTCCCAGTATGTTTTAGAATTGACTTTAAAATTCTATTGATCACTTTTAAAGCTCTTCATGGCCTCTCGCCTTGTTATATTTCTGACCTTTTAGTCCCATACGCACCAGCACGTACCTTGAGATCCTCGGGCAGAGGTCTGTTGTCTGTTCCAGAGTCTCGACTGAAAACTAAAGGGGACAGAGCGTTTGCTGTCAGGGCCCCGAGGCTCTGGAACAGCCTGCCCGAGGAAATCAGGTCGGCTGAGTCAGTGAACTCTTTTAAGTCCCTTCTTAAAACATACTTTTATAGGAGAGCCTTTCCCGATCTTATTTGACTTTATTTTATCCCTTTTATTTTATTCTATTTTACTTATTTTATATTTTAGTCTTTTCAATGTTTTCTTGCTTTTATCTTGTATTGTTTTTGCATTATTGTCTTTTGGGTATTATTGTCTTTACACTTGTGCTCTACAAATAAAGATTTTATTATTATTATTATTATTGTAGAAGAGTAATGTAGTGGTAAAGAAACATAGGTGAAAGAGGCCGGACCACCATCAGATAGGGTGCGTATTGGAGGAGGAGGAAAGGTTTTCACACTCAAACTGTTTTACGCCTCGTAACTAATCATCTTTCTTTGTGGTTTCTTCTACGTTATGGAACTATATAATTTAACATGTCTCGCACAGTCACATCATAAAAACAGGGTTGACGTCGAGCATCCATCACAGACATGTTATATAAACCTAACTTAGATTTCAAACACAGTTAATAATAAGCTTCCTAACCACTTAACTATCAGAAGCATAAATTCAACACTACTAATAAAATGGTAGCAGATTCAACACTTAGTTTGATCACACATATACTAACTCATCTTACACAAAACAACAGAAACGCAGTGATGACAAGAATCCCATTAACTGTTAAACTTCTAACTTCTGATTACCTAAAACTTTATGCGAAAATCATCAGAATTGCGCCAACCATCAAAAAGCAATCAAGTGAGATTATTACTGAACCAGTGACTGTACATTTATTTACACTTGGGTTAATAAAACTCATCTCAAGGATTTATGTCCTTCTGCTGAGTTTCATATCCGACTTCCCCAGAGAGAGAGTGGTCATCTGGGACGTCCCAGAGAGATCAGAGAGGAAGGGCTGACGGCTCCTAAAGTCCCTACATTTTATTTACCAAGTGATATTATGAGCACTTGGCAGATTAATGGACGGTAAGGAAGCACTTCTTCCTCGCAGTGCTAGTGGAATAGTGCCAGCAGCTGAACGGTGAGTTTTAAATATTATTTTACAGGTTTGAGATCTGAAGTGTATTAAAAATGTACAAAAATTCAGTTCATTGACACTTGTTTACGAATTCATAATAACATCAGTAGAAACAGTTAACACATTAACGCACATGCTGCTCAGAATATAAAGTTACTGTTGTCTATCTCTCAGTTTAAAGAGAAGCTCACAATATAACACAGCATGAGGAGGAGGCAGCAGGCAAGAGCTAGCTTGGCTCTGAAAAATGTTTACAGCGATGCAGCGTGACCGCATTGGTGCCGTTTCAGGGTTTTACTGTGAGTAAATGTTTTCCCACGCTGTTCACACCAGTACGGTTTCTCCCCCATGTGAAGATATTTGTGACTTTTTAGATTACTTAAAGTAGAGAAAACCTTCCCACACTGGTCACAGCTGTACGGTTTCTCTCCAGTGTGAACTCTCCGATGATTCTTTGACTGTCCGGATGTTCTGAAGGATTTGTCACAGTGGTGTTGTTTAAGTCCATCTCTTCCTCTCTGTTTCTATAATAACAGACATACAGAGAGAAAGACGGTGAGTGAGATGTAATGGTGCAGCAAGTATGGAGGATAAATCCAGGTCAGTCTCTCTGTGTGACACAGACAGAGAAAGTGAACCCACAAGGTTCAGAAGGCAGAATTCATATTTAGAGATAAGGTTTAGTTAAGATATGATTACAGCTGTAGAATATGTGTGTTTGTACTTTTGTTGTCATATTTTCATGCAGATAAGAGGTACTTTGATTTAGCGTTAAAGCAAACACACACACACACGTACTGACTTCTGAAAAACTAGAAACCAGATGTTTTTCTGTTAGGTTGGGTTTCCTTGGACTCTGGCCAACATGTGAGGAACAGGATGAAGCGATCTCGTTGGAATGTGCACTAAACTACTTTTCCGGCCAAGTTCTCAGAGTGATTCATTGTAGGTTCAGAGATACTGACTGGACTGGACCAAATATGGAGAGGACGTCCTGGAAAGGGAGGGCAGTACAGAGTGTGCTTTGGGAGGACTGTGAAGAGCTTGATTTTCAGGACTGCATCACTTCATTCTGCAGAACAGTCAAATAAAGAAATCTTAAAGCTGAGTCTGTGAATTATTAAATATTCTGAATAAACACTAAAGAGAAAAATTCAGCTCCAAGATACTGCTACAACTTGGGGCTGCAGTCCTTTAACTACTAAACCTTCCAAATGTTTGTCTCAGTTTGCTTCTCTCTGTCTTTCTGTATCTTTCCTTCCTTCTTCTGCCCTCCTTTCCATGTAGCCCTCACTATGTTTTGCTCTCTATAGAAAACACACTGACAGTACAGATTTAGCGCCTCAGATTTGTTTACAAAGTCCCAGCAGGTCCAGCCGGACTCACATCTTTTCCTAGTAGTCCTACGATGGGGAAGTTTCTTTTTTGGATTTTCAGACAGAGTTAAAACTTAAAATGTCTGACAGCTTTCACAACAAGAGGAGCAAAAGCTCAGCAGTAAGTTAACTTTCCCTTAAGTGCAGAACTGGAAGCTAACTTCAGCGTCCTGACTCAACGGCGATCTGGACTCAACAAATCCCTCATCCTGTTGCCCGTACAGGCTGGATGTCAGCACACACACAGATTAAAAACCACCAGGGCACAAATCAGAGCGACCGCATGAACTTCTGCAGTAACATCCCCAGTTCATGTGGCAACCAATTAAACTGTCACACTGGTCCCAGAGCCAGGTACTCACCCCGGTGCTGACTTCCTGGCTGGTCCGGTCCCGGTCGCTCTTAGCAGGAACTCTCTGTCGGACGCTCATCCTCTTAGACGCTGCTGCCGCCATCTCGTCTCTATCAGACTGGACCCAGGAGCATGCGCTGCTCGTGCAGACTCTGTAGTGATGGGAGTACCAGCTGTTTGAAGGGGGGCGGATCTTTAGAGGTACAGAGCTACTGAAATGCAGTTTGCATCTAACCAGGAGTGCAGAAATAGTGTTTTTACAGATGAGTGCAGTCCTGCTATATCTTACAACATGTAGAGGAGTTACACAGATATTATAGAGAGAAGAGAAGAGGACAGGGTTAGAGAATGGAGAGTGCAAATCTGGGTTTCTGGTAAGGATGCAGAGTAGAACATTTGTTGGTTAATGTACAGTAACATAATTAAACAGTGTATCAATCAATATATTTGTCCCCGTAGGAAAGTTAGTTTGCAGCACAATCACATGGCATTTCATCACACGGCACAGAGACAACCAGCAGGCAGACTGAAACACACACCCCTCACCTTGCTACAGATTAGGCAGAGCAGCTGAGCCTCCGGGCTAAATGCCTTACCTGTTTAAAAACGTAATGTTTTTATGTACAAATAAAAATGTAGGTCTTGATTTTAGTGAGTAGTGGGAGGCAGTTCAAAAGAGGGGTCAGGGTTGTGTTTGACAGATTGTACAGGCTTTCCGTTGATAAAAGTAGAATAAGGTGATTGCAAGGGGCCCCTGCAAAGAAGACTGCAGCTGTGAGGAATGTGAAGGTCATCGTGTGACACGGCACATAAACTTGGAGTGCTTGTGTTGATGTAGTTTTATGCATTTGCAGTAATTTGTCTTATTAGTGTCACATTTCAGTCTTTAGACGTGTTGTAGGGTAGAATACACTATTGTTTCAATATTGACTATGTGTGGATGTGGAGGTGGAGGAGGTGGGTCTGACCCTAAGACCCTCAAGAGGAGGAGAAAGGCAGGATATGTCTGCTCAACTAACAACTAAAGCAGATACTTGGCCTCGGCCCATCGCCTATTTGAACAAACCTTAAAGATACCGATTTGATTTATGTTTCATCTCACAGCACAACAAACCTGTAAAGTATTGGAGACAATCACCTGGAGCCTACCTGGAGAAACCTGGAAAAGATGCGGCAGCCTCACTGAATGACGTGAAGGGAAAGTCATGAGAACAAAAACTGATCCTTGTAACTATTGGCCTACTGTACAGTTTTTAGTTGTTTCCATCAGTGACTGGTTGAAATGTCTTTTACTGGCATGTGTCCTGTGTGACACTGTGTGTAGCAAAGGGTTGTGAAGTGGTGAAAAAAACTCTTAATATAGACACACTTCTTCAAACAACAATAACATGGAAACATGTTTAAAGAAGAAAAAGATTGCTGGGAATCATATACTTATTTTTATGGTTGTGAAAAGATATATAAAAACAAAGTATACTTTAAATAACCAGGTTGCAAATAAACCACAAACATCAAACAACAAATGAAATTAACAGCATTAAATAGATCTGGATCAATAACCAGGTTTAAAAACAGTTGAACACACAAACCAGTCAAACCTTTAAATACACTCGTGCTGCCACCTGCTGGTAGAGAAGGGAAACATTTCACTCAAACAACAGCCTTTAGAGTGGAAACCAAATTAAAAATCAGTGCTGACAGTAACAACTCTGCACACACAGAAATGACTGAGGTTAAACTATCTAAGTAACTGTGCTGCACCAACAATGCGCTCTTTAAACGGGACTCTTGCTGTGTACGTGAATAAATGCACAATATTAAAAATGTATTCAACTACGGTTGCTAACAATTTTCCCTTGGTTCCCAGTTTGTTTGGTGTTTCTTCTAATGTTATCCTGATATTGTGCTTTCATGATTAATATTATATCTATTTCTTTGAGCCATGCGAGTATCTGAAACAAAGAATTTCCCCTCTGGGATCAATAAAGTGTTCTGATTCTGATGATTCTGATAATGTTACAGCTGCTCTATAACTCCTGGCTTGTATTTTCATATATTTACTGGTATAAACCGGTTCTCTTGTTTTTTGATACAGTAACCGAGAGCGGAAATATGTTTTCTTTATTTTTGGTATAATGAACTGGACCCTTGATAATGTTGACTTCTTCCTTCTCCTTCTCGGACACAAGTTGTTCAGGTTGTTCACCTTCATCACAAAGGCCGCATGAGACTCCCTTGGTTCTACATATGCAGACAGAACAGATGCACTTTATTTTGAACATGATCTATAAAACACACATCTCAAATTTTTTCAAATCATATGATAATGTTCCATTAACTTCACAGATGTGGACGAGCTGATCGACCGCTTCAGGGTCTCCGCTTTATTCTTCAGTATGAAACAGCCTGTGCTGAGTCCTGATCGTGAAGAGACAAAAAAGAAAGCATTTACTCTGCAGCCGACTTACTCATGGTAGAAGCACAACCGCCAAAACTCTCTGCTTCTGTTAATGTCTCCTTTTGAGAAAATGTGCAGGGTCAGAGTTCACGACTTTCAGGTTGTAATTTCCAGAAAGAAAACATCAGAGCAAAGCTCCACACATTAGGCCGGTCGTCATGGGAGAATTTGCTCAGGGCGTCCGCAGCGTCTCTACAACAGAGGAACTAGGTTAAGCCAGTTTGCATCTGGAGATAAGGTGCTTGTATTATTCCACCTCTAAATTACTCACCAGGTGGTAGAACCCCTGGCAGTCACACGGCGAGTGGGCCACATGGATTATGAGGTTGTGCGTTCTGACAGGGGAGGAGACACAAATTTACCTCCTCAACCTCCTAAAAGCGAGGCGGAACGTGTTTTCCTGCTGACGACAGTTACGGAAAGGGACGAGTTGGGGCCTGAGGTTCCAAAGTCCATTAATCCAACCTCACTCCTTCTTGACCATCTCACACTGGCCCAGAGAGCCGATGATGCTGCAGCAGGCCAGGACACACAAATCTCATCACAATCACAATAATATTTGATTCAGTCCGACTTTCACAAGAACAAATGTCGTCTGTAGTGTTTTTGTAGTCCCCGTTTATTCAGCGCCTCTCGCTCCTGACTATTCACTGGATCAAACCACAGCGGTTCAACCCAGAGAGCGTCTGTGAACAGAGACAGATGTTACCACCTGAAGACAACCACCTGTTATCATGTGACTCAAGTGCCATACTGAGGGCGTGTGATGGCAACTAAGCCTGATCCATCGAAGTTTGAAGTTTGATTGGACAAAACAAGTGTTTAGATGACATCATCTTGGACTTTTCTCAACAGCGACAGGCGTGTTTTTAACATTTTATTTACAAAGAAAATACTAAATAAAACAGGCAGCAGCACTAAGTCAGCAGCGCTACAAATATTTAAGAATAAAAGTAAATTTAAGGTGGAATAAAAACCAAACTACATGAAAAAAACAGATGGTTTACAAACAAATAATCAGCTCATTTGTTTAAGGCGAGACACTGCGTGAAGTGAATAGGGTAGAAAATATTATGTCTAAATAAGCAAATGAGGCAGTATCTAATGAAATATGTGCTAATTTGCATCTAAATATGAACACTGGATTAATTCAGGTTCATCAACCCTGATAAATAAGTAAAAACATGTCTGAACAGACCGAGGGCCTCCTCGATGCTCCAGCCTGTGACCTGGAAATTGATCTCAGTGCATCTTGAAGAACATCTCAGTTCCTAAAATGCACCTCGAGGAGCAAGGAGGCACTTTGGGAAATGAGAAAGGCACCATATATAATGCACTCTGACCTCTGACGTTTCCCTCCTGGCTTTGACATCCAGAGTGTTACAGTATCGCTGACTCGTGGTAGTTACATCGAATGAAAGGGCTGCGGTAGCAAAGGGGTTCTTTGGTCCAAGCAATATTGATCACTAGTCATTGTATTGATCAATATTTCAATGTTTTAAGAACTTGATGTTATTTGTAACGTTTGTGTGGACAGAAACATGTAAACAGTAGATCTATAATACTAACATGAACACCTCCTGGGTATAATTTTATAAATTGTGTATTTGAGTTTCTTCATCAAATTTACAGTTCCAGTTGTAGTCCAGGTGTAGCAGGAGATATTCAGTTGCATTATAACCTGCAGGAGGAGGTTTTGATGGTGATAAATGGTAAAATATAGATTTTATACAAGGCGAGGATGGAAATCTCATATTTTCCTTTATTTAGTCTGTAATGGTAACATAAATATTAAAAATAAATATTGTTGCTGTGCACAGGGAATTTCGTGTTTTATTGCCCGTGGTTGGAAACGCTGCGGGAGGCTCCCCTGCCCCTGATTGCCACGCCACTCTACGGACCAGTATGGAGGTCCCAACATATGAGCACCTGAACCAAGCATTGTGTCTGTCTTTAAACGACGTGGAAGCACAAAGTATACTACTTCACTCACAATAAATGCAGTAAAGTCATATCAGTGTGCGCTAGCTTGTATTTGATTTTTGGTGACATAAATATCTTCACTTATTATGCACCAAGCCGAATGGTTGAGGAGTTATTCCTGATTCTTTTAGGGTGTGTTATTTTAGGTCTTTGTCCTGGAAATTGGGGGAAATTGCTGGTAGTTTAAGATAAAATGGTGCCTGATCATTAAGAGCTTTGTAGGTAAGTAGAAGGATTTTAAATTCTATTCTGGACTTTACAGGAAGCCAATGCAGAGAAGCTAAAACAGGAGAAATGTTGAGTGTGTGAAAAAGTAGTAGTATCAGGTGGAGACGCAGTGTGTTGTTGCAGACACTAGAGGGCAGCAGTGTGAAGGATTTGTTCTACACAGTAACAGCAGTACAGTAGTCGCAGCAGTATTAGTATTAATAGCAGTAGTAGTAGTATCAGGTGGAGACGCAGTGTGTTGTTGCAGACACTAGAGGGCAGCAGTGTGACAGTTATAATCCTGACAGCATGCAGAACTTTTTTATGGAGACATTTTGACACGTGACAGCAGGAAAACTTGTGTTTGTCATTAATAACAAGATTAACTGTGTCTGTTGTACTATTATATATTCTCTCCTCAGATTCTTCTTCCTCCTCATTAATGTGCAGCAGGATGTTGCTGCTGTAGTTGTTGAGCTGCAGCTCATTCTGAACTGTTTAGTATC